CATTATCCCATAAATTAATAAATGATTACTATTATGACGTAAAGGAAGATGAGGAATTGGATGGAATGTATTTTATATTCTATTTTCTAGCAAAATACAGACAAATCCACACTATTCAACAGGTATGTAATGATAACTTTCAGTATATTGAAGTTGGTAAATTCAAGAGTGACGCATTAACAAACGTCCAAATCTGCTGCCAAATTTAACAGCTAGAAAATCGACCTATTATTTGCCGCATTCCCATTCGCTGAGGGGGATAACGGATTGTTAAATGTAAACCTATAACATATATCAAAGTTCATGAAAGTTGTCCTGTTTTTTCTGTACAAAAGCATCATGTTGGAATCAAAAAGTGGTCTTGTTTATAATACAGTCGAATTTTCACGATTTTATTCAATATTTCAACAGAAATCACTAATATTCAGAGACCTTTGACAGCTTCCGTCAAATTGCATTTCGATAAGGTATTTTCCCGTTGGTCCATAATATTAATGTTGGTAAAATTGGCCGTTAGAGTGTTAAAGTAATAAAAACCCTCGCTCTTGAGCTGATCCAAATCATTCCTTTAAGTGATTCGATTCCATGGTTTCACGATTCTATTCACAATTCTTTGGAATTACCTTGAAGGTCTTGGTTAAGGTCATGATCAAGGTCACCATCGTTCTGCTCCATCAAAACCCCACAATTTTAGTTTGAAACTTTGAGGGGTTTTCAAAATATCTAGGTGGATAGATTAAAATGGGACACCCTGTATACAAATACCTATAAGTCAATAGTTGTTTCAAAATTTCCAATTCCAATTTCCAATTGCTTGAAATAAAGTTATCCTGAGAACGTAGTACCTGTGTGGGAAAGTAGCAAGCATAACATAACACAAACGTTGACCCACATGCAATCAGTGTACAACAGCAAAGCTTTATTTTGTATATTTTTCACATGAGGGCACTAAAAAGGTAAATGAGGGTTGATTCATTTAATTCAGTCACACTTAAACTGTACTAACCGTTAGCAAGATGCAAAAAAGGAATTGATACGGGCCGTACCATACGTTCACTTCCAGTTTAATGTGACAGCATCCTTGATGCTCCGTCAATGCATCAGTCTGACTGTTCTTTGTTCCTATAAAGTTGCATGGCGGCAAAGCGCGCAATACTGACAGTGTCCAGAAAAATAATGTTAGATGAACAACTATTTTATAATAAAAGCATCAAGTTTCATTACTATCATATATATTTTTCGTCAGCCTTGCAAGTGCAATTGTTTTACCATTACTTAATTTAATCCAACCTTTGCACATCTTGTATTCTTAGGTGGTATAGTTTAAATTATTTTTTACAAACTCCGAGTATTCAAACGAGCCATCGTCCTATAATCTTTGCCTCTCCAAGCTTCCAATATTTTTTTGTTTAAACTAACGCCAGCAAACTGATAGGTACTGAGAATTTATTCAAAAGGTACGACAACGTCGTATCAATAATTTCCAATGCCCTCGAAATAAATAAAAACCCAAACAGCGATAAGCGAAACATCAACAAACAAAACAAAACGTACTGTCATTGTAATTTTCGACTTGTACTTTTAAAAAAGCCATCGAGGTGTCCGAAACGTTAGTAAAAAGTTCTCCTTCATCTGTAGGCAGACCTTATAGTCGCGGGAACAATTAAACTCATATGCACCAAGCAGGAAGGCACCCCATTCCGTGATATGTACTACTTCTCTATTGTCCGGTCCTCTGAAGAAACACGAAAGCTATTCAGCAGCTTGTAGTAGTACGGAAATATCCGCGATTGCAACGCCTCCCACGTAAATATCTGCGATAAAAAAATTTCTGGTTATAAGTTACAAGTTGTCATAACAAGGTTACACTCCCTAGAGCTCAATTCTTGACTCAACTTGTTCGCCTGGAGCGAATTATTCAGTCTGGCATAAGTCACAGGTTCATTTATTTCGAAAAAGTCCACATACGGCCTTATGGTTAGACAACATGCTTTGACCTATTTTACGTCCACAATGATAATTAAAAAACGATAAAATATGAATTACAACAATTAATTATTGTTATCTACTGCCTACTCGCGTGTTGTTTATACACACGCATACTAGAAAATTTTTATTGTTTAGTAGCACATATTAATTTGTTCTTGTGCTGTTGCTGATTCTTATCAAACGAATTGGAGGTGCCTAGCTGTATGATTGCATTGCGATTCTGATAACTGTGGAGCTTTAACAAGTGTTATTAGTTCTTGTAGTAACAAATTACTAGTATAAGATGTATTGAAGGAGGAAGACGAAAATTATAGAGGCATATCTTGTGCCAAAACTTCTGGGACATACGTTACTCAAAATGTCCTAAAAGCAGACTGATTAGATGGGATGACATGTTCCGCTGCATAATGCATTAGTTGTTCAATTACTTTCGATTGAAAAGGCAAGAGGTCTGGATCTGGATTTGATTTCTTTGTGTAACTGGAACCTCAACTGCTCCCTTTCACGATTCAGGGAAATAGCTCCTTTGGAGGCAACAATTGGCATGGTGGGTGATGTAGATCAAAGTAACAGGCAGACTAAGTTTAATCTTAGACAAACTCAGTGCATCAGTACCTTTAGCATCCGACTTAAAACGAGAAATTATTTTCAAAACGTGATCAGGAGGTCTTGTGGAATCAAAAAGTGACATACATTTACAAGAGACGAATCGGCAAGTTGATTGGGAATACAAGGACTGTAAATTAAGTGATGAGACTGGCAACGTAGCGCTTGAACTGACAACACTGGAGACGCCGGGCTTGGAGGGGAGGCAGGGGAACATGTGATCCGGCTGCAATGCGCGTTTGAACTCGGTCGAGTCATTTGGTTGCCGTTGCGATTTTTCCGTGTTTTAAAAACGAGTGAGATCAATTTCGAGCAACAGGGTGCTATCAGGTTTTGCTTTAGACTTGAGCAGAGCAGCTGAAACTCTTGCTTAACCTCAGCATGCCTACGGAGATAGTGTTTTGTCAAGAGTCAAGATTTTTCGGTGCTTTCAGGTATTTTCAGATGGGTGAGAATGTAATTAGATTTGAATAATAAAAATAAAATAATCAGTCTCATCACTTGGTTAACAAACATGGTTTATGTAATAAAATACCAAAATCTAAGGATGCTGTATCCCCTAATAGCATTTGTGGTGGTTCAGGTAAGAAGAAGAGCTAAAGGTTTCACGACGTTTCTGACTCGGCAAACTTCCTCATTCGGAAGTTGAAATGAAAATACTGCTGGGTGGCAATTTAGCGGTTCACCCATCCTGACGATGCTTCGGCACCGGGGACCATCAAAATCCCATAAGGCGGTCGGTAGAGCGTTTTACGATGACAATTACCGCCGCACCTGAATTACACACTCATACATACGTCCTCCTCTACCCTCTTCCTCTCGCCACACTTCGATCGTTCTCTTTCTTGATTCATGAACTGATCACGACCCGTGAACGGTTCAGAGGCGGGGTTGGTATCAGAAGGTGGACATAGACCCTTATTTATTAACAACACTGGACAATGCTGGTATATCTCCTAGCCTAATCTCACTGTCTAGATCATATCTGCCAGACAGCAAATTCAAGGATATATTTCCAATTTCAGGTAAACCTCAAGGCTCCTGCCTGGGTCCTCCGCTTTTCATCGCTTTTATTAATGACATTGTTGATAATATCGATTGTTACCATTTTATTTATGCACATGACATGACCTGCTCGTCTGCAGGGTGATTTCGACAAGATATTGGAATAGTTAAGGCTTTCGCGGCCAGTTGATAAACTGCTGTCTTGATTCGGGTCGTCGGTTGGAATTTCTTCCTATCGTTCCGCTAGCACGAGTGACGAGCTGCTTTAGAGGTCCTTCCATTTCCGATGCTGGATGTAGACGGACGATTTCTCTTGCGCAGATTGTATTTATACCGGAGGGTAGGTGACGTGGCTTGTTCCGCTTCGGTCGACTTCGGGATGTCGATCGGCACTGCTCGGGCATTTCTGAGGATCGGGTGCCAGATCGGGTTGAGTCTGAGGGTCTCTTCCTTGCTGTTGAAGTTACCTGGATGTTTGTGAATCTCGATAGCTTCCCTGGCCGGTCTATTGTGATAGCCGTTAACTGATGACAGCGACCTGCAGCTCCCAAAGTGTATCCTGTGGTCCCCATTGCTTGGTGCAGGTTCAGCTACCGCAGACTTCTCAGTTTGTAATAGCCGGCACGTACCGGAACCAAATTGTTGGTTTGTTCTCCGATGTCTCAACCGCCTTCTTCTCAAGGTGTTGGCTATGACTGGGCTAAGTGGACTTCCTATTGCCACTCCGTCTGTCTGCTCATAAAAGCCCCCGTCCCAAACGAAGTAGCTTCCAGTGAGACGGATTTCAAAGAGCTTGCAGATGTCAGAGGGGAAGATCCTGCTCACCAGATCCAGGCATTTCCTCAGCGGTACCTTGGCGAAAAGGGAGACGACATCGAAGCTCAGAAGGATGTCGTCGGCTTCAACTACGATGTCCTCAATCTTGTGAACAAACTCGGTGGAATCCTTGATGTAGCTGGTACTCTTTCGCACGTACAGTTGCAGCAGGGATGCCAAGTGTTTCGCTAAGTAGTACGTCGGCGATCCGGGAGCACTTACTATTGGTCTCAACGGAACATCTGCCTTGTGGATCTTGGGCAGGCCGTAGAGCCTTGGTGGATCCGCTGCCGTTCTCGCAACGCTCTTCTTGGTGTCTTCTGGCGGCAGTGATAATACGTAGCTTGATGAGCCGGTTGGTAAGGCGTAGTCGGGCTTGCGTTGGATCCTTCTTCAGGGGTTTGTAACTGTCTGGGTCTAGAAGTTCAATAATCTTCCTTTTGTAGTCGTCGGTCTTCAGAAGAACGGTTACATTGCCTTTACCGGCTGGGAGTATGATGATATCCTCGTCGTTATTCAAGTTGTAGTGACAGCAGTTTGAGGTATTGGAATGTTGTGTCATTAACGATCTTCCAATCAAGACCAGCAAATTTAGTGTTATGTCATACTCAAAAAAGATGGTTCCCGTTCAGATCAATCAACGGGTCGATGATGGTAATTTGCAGATACTACATGAGCATAAGGACTTAGGTGTGATCTTTAGCAATTCTCGAAGCTTAGAGCAAATTCTCCTAGATGTTTAGCGATACGAAATTACAAGGAGGCAACGATGATGCTTTTCAATTTCTTCGTATGGAATCCCTGCTATATGACCGCATGAGACTCTTTGGAGAAGTAGGCAGCGTAAGTTCTTGAAGTTTTTTTTCTTCTAAAACCGAGGGCACATATCAACCTATTGGAACCTCTCAGGCGTAGCTATTACAAAAGCATTGTTTAGATAGTTTGGATAATAGAACAGAAGTCACTCGGTTTTCATGCTGTCGTACAGAGTTACGCGATTCTCTGGTATAGTATATCTCAAACTTTGAGCCGATCTGGCACTAGCATACTTTAAGTCTCCATAGCTTCTGCCTGTTGCTAAAAATTGCAATGTAGCGATTAGGCGTTCATGCGGTGTGATCGCTTTTCTCATTCTTGCTTCCGGTTTCTCTATGTATGGAGTGACGACTCTCATTGCAAGTCATGTCTCAAAAAACGAAATAGTGAGAAAGCTGAATTTCGTTTGTTGGTTGTCTTATGTGACTCCAGCAATACGCGATACCCTTTACCTGGCAAGGGTCCGATCGAAATTCAGCACCGCCGACGATGCCCGAAAATGTAAAAACAACAATTCAATAAAGATACCAGAGTGTGATTGGATACGCGATTAACGCGGGAAATACAAGAGTCAATCTACTACAGTATATTCAGATAAGAGATAGACCGGACATAAACAAGACCACGTGATCATCGAACGCTGTAACATTCGGCAGGGACGTATAAAGAGTCACGCAGTACATATTTTAGATAGTAGATGCTGCTTTGCGTAACTTTGTAGTAAATTAGCACAATTCGATGTGTATACGATTGGTGATGGATATAGGATCATGTGGGGGTGGGGTAAGAAATATATAATGTTGTAAATATACATAAGGGTTTCAAAATTTTCGCTTCGATTTCCAGCTTCGGATGCCGCCTGATGTTTGGTGAAATACAGTCGAATATAATCTCAAAATGGCGTTTAAATTAGCCTAAATTAAAAATAATCGTATATCTCTTAAAATTGCTTTTAGAATATTGATTAGTATCTTTTTTGATTTCTAGGTAAATATGTAACCAAATTAAAACGTTCAAAACGTAAAAAAAGTGCATGGTTGAACATTGTCAGAAAGTAGATTCTTGAATAGGTTTTGCCAAAATGGGTTCAAAAATGTCAATAATTAATTAAAAAATACAGTAGCTTTATAATTACTTATAACTTACCGAATTTGATGAACGACATCTTTTATTGGAAAGATGAGCTTGATGAGCTTTCATCATCGCTACTGCCTGAAGCACCAACGTCAATAATGAATGGCTCGACTTGTTCCTCTAAAATATTGTCCAGTTCCCACATTCTCTTTTCAACTTTGTCTTTCACGTGCTTAATACAGTTTTCCCATTTTTGCGCTGTTATTAATTCTAGTGCTTCTTTGAAAAGTCCTTTGAGGTCACAAAATTTAAAAGTTGTATTGTGCTTAGCTATATAATTTTTAACCTCTGCCCATATGAGCTCAATGGGATTGAGCTCGCAATGGTATGGAGATATTTCTGATATTCCGCCTTGTGATCCTTGACAATTCTTAATAATTGTACTTTCAGCATTGCTTCTTCAAAGTTGATATTTTTCGAGCGGAGCCAATTTTGAACATCAACTTTCCTTGAAGCCGTTGTTGGGACCTTCTCCATTCTTCAAGAATGATAAGGCGCATTATCTAACACAATTACTGCGTTTTCCTCTAAGTTCGGTAAAATTTTTGAAAACCACTGTTCAAACGATTCGCCATTCATTTCCTCGTGGTAATCTCCAGTTTTCTTAGACTCAAAGCACCACAGACCGTCAACAACAAATCCATCCTCACTGCCAATATGGCAGATAATGAGCCTTTTCCCTTTACCTGGAAATCGAAGTACTAACTGGTGTAGATTTATTTCAATAAGCGAACCTTTTTCAAATGTTTTCATCACAATCAGCGAAAAAACATTGAGACATGAGTATCAGATTGCTATAATTGGGATTATTTAGTCATATTGAAAGAAAGAATATTGAACGTCGTATGATTACTCAGCGCTTCACAATTTAATTTATTGTTATAAACCTTTAAAAAATGAATGATCAGGAACCTGAAATACGCGCAAATATTAATATTAACAAATTATAACTTTATAAAGCTTAAAGTATGAATTAAAATGATTAGAAATATTAGGAACGGTACACAATATAAAACTTAGTAACTTTTTTTAAGTTTATAATATTCGACATATTTTAAGATTATATTAAAAAATTATTGAAATATCGAAAACACATAAAAAGATGGCTTAAAAAAGTTCTAACAAATGAAAATGACAATAAAACATCCACGCATTTTATCGAAAGTTATAAAAGTTTTGTTACTTGTAATATGCTTTATCTGCCCCTGGAATTAATGTTTAGAACCTTGTTCCCAAGGTTTGAAAAACATCCGATTGTTGTCTATCACTCGTATTTACCTGCTGGATTTTTTAATCCGGTGGACAGTCCATCTAGAAAGGCCCTCCTGGATGAAGTTACAGAATCATCAACCCATACTTTACTTGTAGTGTGTCCTGCGTTCACCCACGTTTCATCAAGGTAATAAATCTTCCTGTTTTGATTTCTATATTTCCCAATTTTTGTTAAATAATCCCTCCTCCATAGCACAATTTCTTCTCTATCCAGTAGTAAACTATTACGACCCCGTTTTTTCCATTTGAAATTTAAATGCTTCAGTAACGCATGGAAAGTTGATCGTTTGAAATTTGGCAACGTTGTATCTCCATTTACCTCCTGCAGTACTTTATCTATAGTAGGTATTTCATTCCTAAAGAAGAATTCATGCACTTTCCTCCTAATCGCATGCTTATCAGCTTCATCCAATGATTTAACAATACTTTTGCGATGTTTACTGGTCATTGGCTCAGAAAAGGTGTGATTTTTTTTTGTATTGTCTTAACACATTAAACACTGATGCGCGACACACCCCAACTTTGTGAGAAACCTTCACAACAATTTCTTTGATGGTTGATGCCTCGTTCTCCTCGCGCTCGATCTTATATATATTCAAAATGACCTCTTTAATTTCTGCACTCAGGTGTCTTTTTTTAGAGCGTTTCCTAGGTGGACTACAGGAGTTTACAACTTCATCGGCAGTATCTGTACTACTGGGCATTTTGCGCAAGCAGTTGATAACAATAACAATCAATAACAAGGTATAACAATAACAACGACAAACTCGACAACTTAATAAGATAACAAACGAAAACGTCCAAAGAAATATCAAATTGCAATGATGCACACGACATACGTAACACGTCTGAACCTGAATGTGACTCTGCCTTGATACGACTGCTCTGCCGCTCGGCATAGGCATTTAATTGCGAATTGACCAATGAGGGCTCCTGTTTTACGTCGAGACGGCGGCGTTAGCGTGAAAATCACCCGAACCTTTTGTTTACATCCGGTCTATCTCTTATCTGAATATACTGTAGGCACTATTTTTATGATGGTCTTTAGTCTACGCTACTGGGAGCGTCGTTAAAAATGAATCGGATTTCTCTGGGCTAATTAGTAGCGCGTGCCTTGCCGATGCGCGATTGTTATATCCATTAGATGTAGTGGTGGTAACGGCAAAGAATCAAGAATTACTCCTGGTTTACGCGCGTGCTCGTAGTTCTCTTATCACGACGCACGTTGTGTAATTGGTGTATTGTTATGGATTTGGTGGCTGAGTTTGCTGTAACAGTACGACGATTTTTTAATGCTCACACTTCGCTATTATGTAATTGCGATATAATAGAAATGGCAGCATTTGAAGAAACATTGTAATGCCGTCAGTGGAAAACTTTGATGGTTTTTACTTTCCACGACACTGGCGAGGTAGTATGTATCTACTGTCCTAGAATTCGACGTCAAGCCGGACGTCCTCCAAGGGAAAGGAAATTCTTCCCTCACAAAGAGACACCGATTCAAACGCAGAGCCTTACGTTTCAATATCAAGGATATTTTTATCCAACCACATAAATAGAAACGTTTCAGGTTCCGCCATGCCAGATAATATCTCGCTCGCAAATCGCAATCGTCCAGTATTGTTCGAATTCTTTGTGTGCACTTTACATTGCAATTCATCAACCGTTTTAGGTCACTTTCCATTCAGTAAAGTATTCCAGCTTGCAGCAGAATGGTCGGCCAGATATTTACAACGCATGTTATAGACATAGACGGTGTGCTTGTTTGTATATTCAAAAACGATATCCGAACGCTCTCAGTAATTCAGATAAAAGGATCGTTTGCAATATGATATGGTCAGGTGCTTTTACTTTATTACTCCTCCAGATACTTGTCGTAGATACGGTCTATAGAAGAGCTGGGACAACTCGTTCCTTTTGGTGATTCGATTCCATCGCTTCGATTCCGGCTTAGGCCTCAGAACGGAATCCTTCGATAAGTTCACTATTCGGATTTGGGCCTCGGATCCAATGCCTTTGATTCGTTCATGAATTTCGTCTATTCGTTGACGATTCCGATTGCAGCCTCGGATTTGATTCCCTCATTTCATTTACGATTTTGAGTTCGGTCTCAGAATCGGATCCTTCGATACGATCACGAATCTGATCTTGGAATCGATTCTTTCGATTCGTTCATGATTCCGATTCCGTCCTTAGAATCGATTCCTTCGATCCGTTCACGATTCGTCCAATTCGCTCACTATTAAGATAAAGGCCCCAGAAACGATTCCTTTGTGTCGCTTAGGAGTCCGGCCTCGGCATCGATTCCTTCGCTTGTTCACGATTAAAATTCCGACCTCAGAATCGATTCTATCGATTCGTTCACGATTCCAAATCCGCCCTCGGAATCGATTCATTTGATCCGCACATGATTCCAATACCGGCCTCGGAATCGATTCCCTTGATTCGTTCACGATTCGAATCTGCCATCGGAATCGATTCCTTCGATTCGTTCACGATTCCGATACCGGCCCCAGAATCGATTCCTTAGAACTCTTTACAATTCTGATTCTGGTCTCAAAATCGATTCCTTCGATCCGTTCAGGATTCCGAATCCGACCTCAGAATCGGTTTCTTCGATC